TTTGTCTTGTCAACATGTAAGGACTAGTAGTAATACCATTTCCAGACCATAATTTATATTCGTATGTCTGTCATGTGGTCATCGGTATAAACACTGATAATTGATATCATTTTCAGATCATAATTTACATTAATCTGTCTATCATGAGATTATCAGTATAAATAGTGATACCTGACATCATTTCCAGACTCCCAATTTTTCACCAAACTTAAATATCTAGTTTTCTGCTATTGGATATTATATACACTCACTGTGATTCACACTTGTTTATCTAGAATTCAAGTCCATCAGGTAGCATCAAGAGATAAATAAAAGTTCGGTCTGAAATTACGTGAATATGTTAATAATGCTGCTAATCAATGGCTGGATGTGGATCTTTTTTTCTGCATTATATAATGACATGATAAATGAATCACGGTCGTTCTAAGAAAAGCTTCTTTGTTTGGCAGCTTTTAAAATAAAATTGTACGCAAACCTTCTAAACAATTAAACAATCATTTCTGTTTTCTGACTGATCATCTTTTTTCCTAGAAACCTGTGACATTAAACACAGATAAATATTGTAATAGACAAACATGAAATTCATATTATATTTATGTTAATAGCTCACGATATAAATTTAAATAGCGTTTGTCCAGTTTATTGTTAGAACTGATTGATAATTTTCGAAATACTCGTACAGATTCTTCTTGCTGCGACAGATCAAATTGTCTCTGTGTAAATTGAAAACATAAATTACTTATATCCCGTACTCACCTACCAGTCTGTTCCACCAGATAACACAACACATCTCAATTTCATTCCTCCTCTAACTGACAGTTTTTCCATTACTGAATTTACTTGTAAATTTATCTAGTCGACTATATTTTATTGTAAAGTTTCAGCGAACATTGATCATTCATTCGTCATTCCTATTAAGTGGCGCGTGTGGTTGAAGACCGTTCTTTATAGAGTCATCACCGGAGTCTTGTGAAATGTAATTCTCTTCATAAATATGTAAAATAGACATGTGAAGGAGGATATAGTTTCCTGTTCGGCTTTACGTCTGTTTTATATGGGAGACATTCATGAACGTAGAGCAACTTCCATAAAATTCGACGGCTTGATTTGAATCTTCGTGATTTGAGTTTTCTCAGTCTTTCATTTATTATTTTATCCTTTCACTCCATCTGCAGTATATAATTTGCACCAGAAGATTGTAAACTGGATATAATTTGCACCAGAATATTGTAAACTGGATATAATTTGCACCAGAAGATTGTAGACTGGATATAATTTGCCCCAGAAGAATGTAAACTGGATATAATTTGCACCAGAAGATTGTAGACTGGATATAATTTGCACCAGAAGATTGTAGACTGGATATAATTTGCCCCAGAAGAATGTAAACTGGATATAATTTGCACCAGAAGATTGTAGACTGGATATAATTTGCACCAGAAGATTGTAAACTGGATATAATTTGCACCAGAAGAATGTAAACTGGAAGAGAAATTCATACCTATTTTGACACCAAAGGATGCCCCCTTTTTTCTCTCTCTCCGTGAACCTTCAGACAGCTAATCTAAAGCTCCGTTGTTGGTCTTTTCGCCCCGATAATGGTCTCTTTATACATACCAAATGACAATCTTTAGACGAATCACATTATAACACCCTTCTGTTGTTGCTCTCATTTGGCTCGTGTTAACATTCTCAACACGAATTTGAATCACGTTCATGTAATCGTGTAACACAGAGTCACTCTTCTGCTATGGCCAAGGTTTTAGTAGCGTCAAATCTGATGAACGTGCTTGATCGAACTCGTGTATTAAAGTCTAGGTATAAAGAGAGAGAGAGAGCCATTTTGCCTCTGCTTAAAACTTACACGAAAGTTTCCATTACTCTATAGAGCTTGTGAGCAGAGTTAAAAAATCTCAATTTGGTTCAGAAACTTGGCGTCGTTTTAGATTATCCTACATCTGATTAGATGAGCCATGATGATTATTTTGTGTTCAGTAATTTTTGATGGTATCTTATTTTAGGTTATGCAGGTTAGTTTATGGCAACTCAGTTGTTACTTTTCTGTTACATTAAATCGTATTTGGTCAATTACACGTAATGCAGTATATCAATTTCTAGAATAGTTCAAAGTTTGGAATTATATGAAGAACCTTAATATAACAGTAATTTAGTAAACTACCATATCTTTTAGTTTTTTTTAAAGTTTTTGAAATATTTCTTTTTTATTTGAATCAGCGCTTTATTATGATCAATTAATATTTGGATTATAAATTTGTTTTTTGTTGTTTTTTTGCGGAATGGATGCTGTAAGTGAAGATTTTTAAACAATGCTGTATATGTCTACAATATTTCTAAAGTGATTTATTTATTTATGAAAGTTGAACAATGAACTCCGCCAGATTTTACCTATTCGCCAGGATTCACCAGGATGTTTAACTAACCGGATTTTGTTTAAAAAAAAAAAGACTGTAAAAGGCTTAATGAATTTTTAATAGTTAGCCTGCTAACGGACTTGAATACTCGAATGAGTATACCCATGCTGAGTTTCGTGCAATATTTAATGGTTATATAAAATGTTTAACACTTCTTTACTGTGTTCTTCTTCTAGGAAGGTTTGACGTGCATGCTGGTATTCACTATTACTGCAGCCGTCCTTGGAATGTTTCAGTTTGGATATAACACTGGAGTCATCAACGCTCCGCAAAAAGTAAGGATTCAGCTTTAACGATAATTTTAGCTCATTTTAGATGGAACGCTAAAGTTATGAAATGAATGTGTATGTCTTCATGAGAAATCTCTTCTAAACGTATTCCTTTAAGTTGTGTTTGACACAACAAACATTGATCTCAGACGTCCGGCATCCCGTTTGGAATTTCTTTCACATATAAAAAGTAGGGGTATTTCGCTGCTGATGTACTACTGTTTTACAAATATTAGACATTCTAAAGAACAAACAAAATTCCGCATTTAAAAATCAAAACTTTATTGTTCTTAAATAACTGGTTCCTTAAAAAATTGAAAGAAATCACTTTGTAAGAACAACTGGGATAATATAAATTTTTGGACTGCATACGTAAATTTTTCTTATTAACAGCCCTTAACGGTAGTTCAGAGGATTTCTAATCAAATGAAGTTCGAACTGGTAAAGGTCATTGCTGGTACAGACTGTGAAATATTCAAATATATTCAAGTGATGACATTTCTCAACTGTCGTACCTACACCACAGCTGATAAATGTACGAATATTAAAAATATTTCTCCCAGTAGGAGGCAGAATCTAATGCCACCTATTGACGAAACACCTGTATTGCTTAATATAACTTTCGTCGTGATTCTTGAAAAAAAAATATATATATATATACATAAACATAATAAATCATGCACCTTCAGAGTTATTGCAGAGGTTATGAATCCCCAAGTATTGGTTATGTGGGGTAAGTTACTCCCCTGACACTTCTTTTCCTCGTATTACCTATGCATTGTAAGACAAAAGTTGTAAAGGACGGTATATTTTGTGTCATAACTTTGACCTTCGTTTACTAATATGTATAGTAATATTTTTGTAATAACATTTTAAACTTTAATGTGCTTGTGAAATTGTGCATGGAATTTTGTAAATATATACAATATGCGATTTTTTATTTTAAAAAATAATATTGGGCATTTTATTTTTATGTGGTTGTAAAATTGAACCATCTTAATGATTTATTGAGACAACTCGTGATGACCAACTTAGTCATTTATTCCAATCATTTTCCAACGTTTAGTTATTGAGTCATGCATAGAGAAGGGAAGAGACTTGAGTATTGAAGGTGGTGCGAAACATATTATGTATGGAACGGCCTAGCCTGATAGTTCACATGCTCAACAGTTCATAGTTTACTACTTATTGCCGCAAGGTGACTTTCTGCACTTTGGGGGCGTTGGTGCGCTATAAGTATGTCGGCCATATCCCAGTATTTGGTCAAAGATTCGGTGGTGGGTGCTGTTGAGTAGCTCCCTTTCCTCTAGTCTATCAGTTCAAAATATGGCATGGCTGATACATATATAGCCTTATCGCCCTTATGTGTAGCTTTGTGCGTAAATATTGAATCTGTTAATAGCCCAAGAAACCAGTATCTGTTTCATAATACGCATGCGTATTATGAAACAGAATAATAACCTTAGAAGAATAACCTTATCGAAAGAATATGCGTAGAATAACCTTATCGAAATGTTATCACCAGACAGTCGATATCAGTGGTGAGTCTCGTAATACCGACTTCCCTTCGTAATGAGACTACATTCAAAACTAAAGTGTGCCTTTAAGCATGGCTCCTTTCTTAACTCGAGACACATGAAAGTAATGCTCGTATTACAACTACTTTGTATCGAGAGAGGGCTAGAAACCAGACAGTACGGAAAACTTTCTGTCACATACAGAGATATGCCACAAAGATGTGGTTATGAAAACATACCTAGGTCTTCGACTTAATTGTAGAACTAGTTATTAACGGAAGTTCTGGATATTTCTCTGGAATTTCAGTTACCAAACTCATATACCTTATTTTTTACTGAGAGAAAATGGTCCACTTCCAGATCCTGTATGCTGTTTATAGTTTCTTGATATTCTACTTTTAATCAAGTATCTTGACGTTGACAGCTTGCACTAAGTACTGTACGCTGAGTGTTTCACAGTTTTGTTCTGTATACTGTATATTTAATATAGTGTATTGATGTTGACAGCTTATGCTAAGTACTGTATACTGAGTAATTCAGTTTTTTTACTAAATATCGTTTACTGATTAAAGCATTTTGATGCTGACAGTTTAGTTCCAAGTATTATATTTAAGTATTGTTTCTTGTTATTAACAGCTTTAAACAAAGTATTGTTTATTGACTGAAGCATTTTGATGCTGACAGTTTAGTTCCAAGTATTGTATTTAAGTATTGTTTCTTGTTATTAACAGCTTTAAACAAAGTATTGTTTATTGACTGAAGCATTTTGATGTTGACAGTTTAGTTGTAGACGCTGTACAATATTCTGTTTTAATTATGTGTGATAAACATTTTTACTTAACTGAAAATATCCTAAAACGCAACCATTTTTTTTAGGTTGGCCATTTACTTTCAAAATCACAAAAATGTCCCTTTATCTTTAGCAACTCTGATAACACTGAAGTGGCAAGTTTAAGCAGGTTGATTATATCCTAAAGCATGTTTAAGCTTCTTTTATCTTTTCTACTGTAACTCTAGAATGTATGTATTGATAATAACGATTATTAGTAGCATTCACCTAGTCTTCATCATATGCTGGATAGTTGTATTTATGAAGACAAAGGAACGCGAAACTTGCTTTTATTCTTAATTGGGGTGTGATGATGAGTTCGATTACTTAAGGATAAATCTTTTCCCAGCTTTTTTTCTCTTCCTTTCAAATTAAGACCATCTTTTCTTTTCTTAAACTGCCCCCCCCAATGGCACAGCGGTATGTCTGCGGACTTACAACGCTAGAATCCGGGTTTCGATACCCGTTGTGGGCAGAGCACAGATAGCCCATTGTGTAGCTTTGTGCTTAATTACAAATAAACAAACAAACTACTGCCTTCTTACCTCTACCTGTTTAAAGTGGCGCCAAAAACATTGCCCCCCAGTGGCACAGCGGTATGTCTGCAGACTTACAACGCTAGAATCCGGGTTTCGATACCCGTTGTAGGCAGAGCACATATAGCCCATTGTGTAGCTTTGTGCTTAATTACAAATAAACAAACAAACTACTGCCATCTTACCTCTACCTCTACCCGTGAGGGGTGGGTGTGCTGTAATACCCTATAAGTGTAGTGAGTGCTGCTATAATAAGTCTAAAGTAAAGACGTAGTGTGGGATCACCTAGCCAAGTGCATAAAATTTATCATGAAAGTAAAAATGTCGATTTAATTTTAAACTAAAATCGTTTCTGAATTAAGCTATTTTCTGTTATACCACCAACGTTTCTGATAAAAAAAAACACCCCTCTTTAATCAACGGAGAATAAATTAAGAAATCAACAACTATTTTTCCAGTTTTGTGGCTATACATTTCATTTTATACTTTCAGTACATAAACTAAGAACAATATTAGGTTATATTTTTGTTGCTAAGCAACATGACATAAAAGCCATTGTTACTAAAATGCACTGCCTTTGTGCATGTTAGAAGTTGTTAATCTAACTGATTTTTACCAATAGTTATTCTATGAACATGCCATGAATTTATTTCATGAATGATCTTAATTTTGATTGGCTCACGAAGGAATTTCCCGACGTTTGACTGCCTCGATTGCACTTTTCTGCCTCTTTGTTGGTCAAGCTTAATTTCGCAAAATTTATTTATTTCAGTTAGCTATCAAGTGTGAGGTTAGTATATATTATGGTGTGGTAGTACTTGTCACGTTATTTTTGACGGGCTATACGCTAGTCGATATATATTCTACGAACAGGAAATTAAAATGTTATGGATGATGGGGTATTTAGTTTTGTCACTAAGACTTTTCTTGAAGACGGTATTTTCATCATTGTAAGCAGTCTCTATTATAATCGCAAATAAACGTTAAGAACCATGGATTACTGTAGTTCCTCAATCTCATAATCCTCCTATGAAAATTGTGTTATATAAAGGAGTTGTATGATATCCACAAATATCCTTATGAATCATGGATTACACACATTCCTTTCACAATCCTCTTATGAGAATTGTATTATATATATAGTTAGATAATATCCACATATACCCTCATGAATCGGGGGTCACACGTTCCTCTCACAATCCACCTATGAGAACTGTATTATATTCAGGTGTCGTATGATATCCACAAATACCCTTATAAATGGATTACACACGTTCCTCTCCTAATCCTCCTATGGCAATTTTGTATACAAGAGCCGTGATAACTTCATTTGTCAACTCGTATTTGTTTCTTTGGTTGTAATCTATTAGTCTCACTGGTTGTGTTAGCACATTGGGGAAATACTGGTTGATAGATTATTATTATCTGTAATTTTGTTTTTTTAATCAAGAAATCTTGGATAATGATTTATTGATCTGCTTTTTCATGTTTCCTTGCTCGTGGACTATTTATTCAATTATAAGTCATTGGTGTGTCCAGTTTTGTCTCCTTGTCTATTGCATGATACAGTTTATCTGCTTACTTGATTAAAAACTACTGGTTGATATCTTAAACTATTTAAACATGTTTTGTTTCAGATCTAACATATTTGAAGAAAAACTATTCAATTTTTTCTGAAGAAGTAGAAACTGAGACCGAACATTTTTGACATTAAAAAAAAAAACAAGGCCAGGATGATGTGTAATTTGAATGGCGTTTTCATCTGGTTCTGGTCAAGGTTATCCAGTAGTTATAACGTATATTGTAAAGGCAATAGATAATGGGTTTTCATTAAATTGGAAATAGCTCATGATTATGTGAGTATGTTTTTTTTTAATTTTGATGAATTAATACTAGTTTTAAGGCAGGTAATAACTCTCTCATTTTTTTAACATTCCCTGCCTTTCTCTTCGTATTAAAACACGATACATAGTCGGGCGATTCCTCTTTCTCGTTTCTCTTAATATAATCAGAGGTTTGATGTCGTAATTTAAGTTCATCTGGACAGAAGGGATAACAGTTTGTATAAAAAAATTTTAACAATGATTTTATAAGGTTAGTAATAGTAGGCTTATTTGTAGTCTA